GGCTACCTGGCTCCAGTAACGTGTGCCAAGAACACATCATGTCATTTTCTTGCCTCTTTCCTTTTTGAAAATATATCTTGACTTTTATTTCCATTATAACCTTCCTCTTACTAGTCAGATGGGACCAATAATGTGATTAAATCCCTCAAAATTACATAAATATCCAGCAAACTTGCTATAAACTAAATGGCTACGAAACTAAATTACCTTACCAGACAACAAACACCGGCATAAATATACCCATAATAATTCATGTGGTCATAAAAATATCCATAGAAGTTTTGAGATGGAAAGCTCCCAAGAAAGTGAGTTCCTCTGCGTCTTTTCTTGTGTCTTACACGTCATGTGTCTCGAGCACAGGGACTCTAATTTTTCTTTGTATAACCAGTACTTCTCACTTTGCCTGCCACGTGGTGGACTATAAATATTTGCTACAAGAAAGAAGAAAAAACAAAAGAACAAATGCACAAGTTTATACCCCAAAGCCTTCTTTTTCTCTATGCCCTCTGAAATATCTCCACTGGGAGGCAGCACATGACTTTACTAACAGATTTCTAAATAAATAAAACAACATGCTCAAATGATACCATTCCAAATATAGTAGTTCCAGGCATTCCGTGATTACAAATAGAAGAAAGAGATGCTATTATGACCTTCTTAATATACTATATTAATGGCTGCAAGGTCATTCAAATACATTCAAATATTATCTCTTACTGCAGCTTCAAAACATCTAAGTAATAACGGCAATGAAAATGTCTGGAAGGGAATTCTCCAAAATAATTAGATGGTGTTGTAGCTGGTGAGATTTAATTGAAATTATTGTTTCTATCTCTAACAGTCATAACAACAAGACATGTCATATATTTATTCTGTGTAATTCAAGGACTGATTAGCAAGCAAATTTTTATGTTTTTAGGAAAATGGAATTTCACGAAGGAATAAACATATTCCAACTCCTTGGCTAAAATTTTTTTTTTTTTTGGCCTCTTTTCTATGTAATCAGAACACAGGCTGTTGGGTTAGCACAGGACAGTCCCACTGTCAACCAGATACAATATAGGAGGGTTAGTTTTGTTATTGTGGAACAATTTTATACAGCTATTTCTGCAGCCAGGTTCATTCCAAGCCTGTCCTCAGCAACAGTACACGTGATTCCAAGTACTGACTGAATTTCGAATTGGGTTGCAAATTTGTTACTCTTCTCCCTAGAGTAACGATAATTGACTTGTGCAGTATTTATGCCAGATTTTCAATTTTCCTGCATTGACTTTTAATCTGCCTTCCTTCCTAAAACTTTACAACTCTCTTGGACACATTTTCCGATTGAAATCTTTTTCCTCCATAAATGCCAACGAGCTGATGGAACACATGGGCAGCAAGAACACTTCTCACATTTAAAACCTAAAATCAACTTCAGCATGCCATTTGCAATGAGATCATGAATCCACATGGGTTATTACTGTAAACTAGAGTCTGGTCATGGACAACTGAAACTCATCCACTCGTAATGTTGTAACATTTACCCAGTAAAAGTGTTGTGCCAGGTGTACGGCACTGGGAACAAAGCCATAAATTTACTTTTTGAGCATCTCACATTTTTATCTTTAAAAATTCCAAAGGGCTTGAGTAAAGTTGCTTATCAATAGAAAATGTACAAATTTTTCTAAGTCGCTATTCTGAACTGATATTGGTAATTCTCAATTTTCAAATACAGGATCTCTTTTATTTCTAAAAATTTACCAAGCCTATGTCTGGTTTAATGTTACTTGTCCAGATTGCAAGCATTTTGAATATTTTATATCTTCCCTTTGTCTTTTTTCAAGGAATAAATATCTTAATTTTTCTGTTCAGCTTATTCTTTTCTTTATTCTTATCTCTTCCTTTTTCTAACCCGTCTCATTTTAATGTGAGAACAAGCAGTTTCAAAAAACTTCATAAAAAACTTCAGTTTCAAAATATATCATAAACAGAGCTTTTAAAAAAGTAAAATTTTCCTATAATTTTCCATGAAGTTATAGTTTTGGTTGATTCATGGTTAACCTTCCAAAGTACAGAAAGCCACAGACTAACCAAATAGTTTCCTTGGGCATGATGTGGGATGCCAGGTTTCCAGCAAAATATCTGAACCCTCACTCCCCAAAGCCCTCTCTCCTCCACAAAACCCACACCAAGTTTCATCGTCTATTGCTTGCAGCATCCCACTTGCAAGTAGCAAACGCTGTATCAGTTATATCTAATGCTTCTTGTAATAATAACTTTAAAAAGAAATAATGGCTGAAACAAAATAGAAATATATTTCGTCTTACATAAAAGACGTCTGGAGGGAAGCAGTTCACAGACCTAGTCTTCTACCTTTCTGATCTGTAATGCATACTGTCATCTCAAGACCCCAAGATAGCTGCTGAGCTCTTGCCATCATATCCACATTCCAGTTATCAAGCAGGGTATAAACAAGCTCCTCTTGGTTGAATAAATTCTTTTAAGGAAACTCTCTCAGAATTTCCACCAAAACTTCCATTCACATCTAATTGGCTCATAAGCCTCATGGTCACAATAGCACCAAAGAAGTCCATGAATTTGTCTTTAATTTGGACAGAAATTTTCCCACACACTTAGGATTCCGTAACCCAGGAAGAAGGAGAGAACATTGGACAAATGGCAGTCCCTGCCGCAGTGTTCATTACAGTTTTCTTTACAACAGTGGAATATTGGAAACAACGTAAATGGCCTGGAGAATAAATGGTTAAATAAAATCCAGAATGTTCGTATATTAAACACTGTCTTGATATTGAAAATATGATGTAGATTACTATTTATCAACATAGAAAGAATCCATGATACATTTTTGAGTGAAAAAAAACAAACCAAGCATCTATAATGTGATCCCATATGTAAAATCATGTCTGAAAATTTTTTTTATGTTAACAGAGATTAGACAACCACTGGGGTTAATAATTTTTTGTGTAATTTTACTTTATGTTTTTCTATATGTTTTGAACTTTTTACAATGAGCATACACTGTTTACATGATTAATGTAGAAATAAAAAGGCACTGAAGAAAATCATCTTCAATAAATCAAAAAAAAACCCAGTCTGCGAAACTTTCTATCTGCACATCCCTCTTCAGCCAGCGGATTTTTTAAGCTGTCTTTATGACACTTACCAACTTCGTGCCCATAATATGACACAGAACTGCACTGATGATCAATTCTTCAGTAACGTGGAAATAAGAAAGCAATAGTGAGGTCTTTGTAAAAACTCTTATTTGCTTTTTGTCTTTCACTTCCACTTATGCTAATTTGAGTTTTGTACCAACTGTACTTCTCTTTATGTGAGTTTTTGATGTAGTGTTCAGTACAAAAGAAATTGGCTTTTTATTAATACCTCTGTATGTTTGTGCAAGTAAGTTTTAATTGCAGTAGTTAATTACTTCAGGCAGTCATTGCCCCTATTTTCAGTCTGTCAGATGTGGTCCTGTGTGAGACTTGTCACCAGGAGGTAAATAGGATATTTGCAATCTGAGTCTGCCTTTCCCACATGTATGATATTAAGCCCTTTGCCTTGATCCCTGTATCTCTGAGATGGGTAGAATAAAGACTCTTTTACTTAGTTAAAAGGGTGTTGTCAAGGTAAAATGAGATCACTAATGGGAAATGTTTTGCAAAGTTAAAAGTAACATATATAATATTGGGGCAGGCTGTCTTATCTTAGAATCAAGGGGCTTAGGCAGCACTGGGTTTTCTAAGCAGAAGCTGTCGTCTTTGGTACTACCCACAACACCTGCAGCCCATGTGGCCAGTGAAGTCGGTTGCTACTTCAAAGGGCAGCAGAAAATTGAGGAAAGCAGGTGTTACATGAATGAAGACTAAATCTCTAATCCAGAAATCCATCGTGAAAAAGCAGCCCTAATTTTTTGCATCACTTTCTCAGGCTGGGTGGGTAAACCTTAATTTATTGTGTAAATTGCATTATATTAAAGGATTTTAAAAAATAGATCATCTGTGATTTTCTTAAAATATCAATTTGCGAGAAGCTCACTAATTCCAATCAGCTGAGAACTAAGTATTTTAAACTCCTCGCAGAGGAACGATCCCCAAAAGATTGAGAACAAATATCTCTTTCTCATTTAATTAAGACAAAAACATAGCCTGCTTGGAAAAGTGGTCACTCTGAACACACACGCACACATGCACTGTTGTATCATCTCCTTTGAAATGACATCTGTCTGCACCTCCATGTGCACAGGTGGAGAGAATTGGGGTAGACACTGAGACTGCCATTGGTGACAGCTGAATTTCCTCTGAATTAAATTGAATTAAGTAGTGCTGGAGGGACATTAGGGGCTCTTCTTTGCTTGGGCCTCCTGTTCAGCACCTGGATAAGCTTATATTGCCTTGGTAACCAAGCCCAAACCCTTTCTAAATGTTGAAAAGGGTGGTTATGCTTATTGATCCCCAACAGGTTGGGTGAATTGTGGTTTCTCTCACCATGCAGGTGAGTTTCTCATTTTTCTTTTTTCTACTAAAGGGATTTTGTGAGGTGCCTATAATAGTGAAGTTTTTGTAATACCCCATGTGGACATGAAGTTGTTTCCCAACATTTGAAGCTTCCTCAGATATTCCCCAGCCCTTTGGGAGCTTTGTCCACTTTGAGCAGAGAGATTTGCATCTGTGGTAGAGACGCAATTGGCAATGGCTTTTGAAACGTGTGGTCTGTTACCCCACAGACATACCAACCCAGGAACACGTTCTGGATCATCAGGTGCCCAGGCCCTGCCCTGGGCTTCAACTGCTACACTGAGACCTGCTCCTATGCCTTCCTGTTTCCATCTCCAAAATGTTTTAGACTGTAATTATGGCACTGGGATATTTACCTGGGGCTTACTTGAAATTTTCTTAAAGAAAACTTTACCTTTGTAACATTTTTGCTGAAAGCAACATTGTGTTTTGTTCTTATTGTTATAATAACTATTGAAATTGGTCTTCTCTTGCCTTTAGCTCGATGAGCACCGTGTCTTATGTGGATGAACCTGGCCAGCAGGACGATGTCGCTCGCCTCACAGTTCAGCTGGAAAACACCTATCAGCTGGGTGTGTTACTTCATCATTCACTCCTAGTTTAAGCTAATTTCGTGAATGATATTTACTTAAAATAGTATCTGATAACCTGTAGTATATTCAATGCTAGCACAATGTAAGGGATCTTAATTAATTGAGTGATTTGATCCTGCTTTAATTTCTTCCTCTGCAAAATGGAACCAATACCCATTGCCTGCTTTCCTCCATCACTGTTTCCTAAATACCAAGCAATTCATTGAGTGGCACTGATGTGTATTGCGTATTACTGAATTAAGAAGTTCCTTGGGTATTTCTGGGTTATCTGATTGAGTTATTTTATGTCTACTTAAGTTAAATGAAAGAGCTATGCATTAAAATTTTATCCAACAAAAACAACAAATGTTGTTGATAGGTAGAGAAAAAAGCCTTCAAGGCAAATGATTCCTGGTCCCCTGTTGACAGAGATGGTTATCCCTTCCCACTGAGGTTTTGGGTCTTTGAAAACAAATATCTTTGCACCTGCCCCTATACTCCCAGGTGGAGTTCACAGTGAATGTCTCTTCCCATTCATTTTCCTCATAGACCTACTTGTTTTCTCTAAATGCATACCTGCCCACTATTATCTGAATCCATATAATGCAGTAATTATACTGCTACATGGAAATCCACAGAGACTTACCAATGACCAAAGGAAGACTCCATGGGCCAGAGTGGTTCCATCTGTGGCCAGTTAACCTCAAGAAAATTACAGACCATCAGCACAGCCCATTTGGCCCTGTAGCCAGTTTTCTACAGCAGTCCCAAGACTACACGGATTACAAGGCTCCATAATTAGTCAGTCTACTGGTATTTTCACAGGGCCTGGGGTAGGCAACTAATATTCCTGCCGTCCAATATACTTTTTACACTCCTTCTGGTAATCTGACCCAATTTTCTTTGGGGAAGCCCCAGCACTTCCATCATTACCGCTTTTGGTCCATAACATTCTGCTGAGGCTGACACTAGCTTCAGAGATGTAACAGTGACTGATTCTGGGATGGCATATAACCCTTTGATTAGTTAAGTCAAAGCCTTAGAGATTCAATTCAGAATATGTTGTTTGGGCTTTTGAAGAAGCAGATCAGGCCCTGAAACCTGAAAGAACGTAGGGGCTATGGCAGGGTCTGTCATCTCGCCCCACGTGAAGGAAGCCTGAGACCGAGAGAGAACCAAACCCTAACGTCATCATTCGAGTCCTAAATTCAGCCCTCTGCTCATAGATTTTGCCGTTAGGCAAGCTGAGTTTGAGTCAAGTTTTCCCCCACTTGTAACTAAAGTTACAATCTTGGCCATGCGGTGCCTGCGGCTTTGGTCTCTGCGTGCTGAAAGGGTTTGAATCAGATTTCAGCGAGATAAAGGACGTGAAAAACGAAGCCCTCTTTTTCTTCTTCATAAGGATGTATTTTCATAACTTGTTTCCCCAAATAAACAAACTAAATTGTCTCATCCGTTTTAGAAGTACTGAGTGTTGAATCAAGTTAGAAAAGTAATTACAGAAACACCTTAGTATAAAGTACTTTCCATATTTTATAAAAAGTCATATGAATTATTCTTTTATGATTAAAGTCTTTTATGCTTGACCATCCATTTTTTAAGCATTCAACCAGCCATCTTGTTAAAAATCAAAAACGTATTTCCACATCTACTTGTTTCTGGGTTATTTTGCATCTGAAAGGTACTCTGTGGGCCTTTGGAGGGAGGAGTGAGGCTGGGGTGTCTGCTTCCCCCACCCTGCCTGTGGTTCCCCCTAGACTGTCTACATCCGCCAACAGTAGGACGTGAGCTGCTCTCAGGGAGCCTGTCCACAGGCCTCTCTGGGGATCTAGGAACAGTGCCCTGCTCAGCCCCCTGAAGCCTGGGGTGGGATGGGGTAACACCCTCGCTTTCACAGGCTGAGGGTAGTGCACTGCTCTTCCTGATTTCCCACATTCTGCTCAGACCTTCCTAAGGAGTCTCCTTCCTAAATCCTCTTGGGATTGTCCTGACTTTAGTGTGCCATATGTTTCTTTAGCCTCTGACTGAGACAGACCTTAAAAATAAACACTTAAAAGATCCTGGTGACTATTCAAATAGAATGGGATATGATTCTTGATCTCATTCCTTCATCCACATCAATTCAGAAAATAATGATGGAGCCTCTGAACTCCAGGCTCTGGGCCCACGTGCCTGTTGTACAATGACACGGGCATATAGCCAGAGAGATGGTCACGTTCCCATTCCTGGGAGGTGCAGGTGAGATTCCCGGGGTGCTGGATAAAAAGCTCCATCGTAAGCTTCTGAACTCGGACTAAATGCGGTTAGGTATAGAAGCCGGAGAGTCAGATACACCTGAGCGTGCGTCCCAGCTCCGCCCCTGTGCGATTCCGAGCAAGTCACCGAATGTGTTTCAACTTCTGTTTTCCCATCTGCGAAAGGAGCTAACACTAAGATTCACCTCGGATTTATTGGAAGGTTCTATAAGGTAGTAAATATAAGATGCTCATCACAGTGCCCGATGGACAAAATGCTCAATAAAAGTAGCCATTATCTGTACTATGATTATTATCCATAGAATGTTTAATTCTATTTAAAATCAGAAATCATACAGTAAACATTTCTTGTGCCTTTAGCATTGTAGTAGATGCTGAGGAGGACAAAATCGAATCTAGCTTTGCATTTCACTGGGGAGAAAGCCAGGTCTGCCTTAGCTCTTGTCAGGTGGATTAGGATCCAGGATGGAGTGGAGGAGGGCACAGTGCACTGGGAGGGCAGCGAAGAGAGGGCTGACTTTGACCTGAGGACAGGAAGAAGGCTACCTGGAGAAGGAGACGTTTGAGCTGGCCTTGCAATGTGAGTGGATAGTTCTCGGATGAACACGATGGGGAAGGGTGTTCTATTTCAAAAGAAGAGCAAGAACAAATGGACACAAGCATCCTTTAAAAGCCAGGTGAAGCCCGTGAGATGGAGCAGCATCGGCGTAGAGAGCTGTGGTGGTGGGAGAAGAGGCTACAGGTTGGGTAGGAGGTGAACCTTAGATCTTGCAGAGGGAAATATGGCAGTAAGATCTGGGTTTCAGAGCAGTTCCCCCAGTTGTAGTGTGGTAGATAGATTGGAGGGGAGATGTAAGAGCTGGGGGCCAGTAGGAAAGATGCTGAGACTTTGAAGTAAGATTAATAGTGGGAACTGAGAAGGAGGATACGTTCAGAGTCAAACCTCAGTGGTACTGAGCACACTCCTTATGTCATGTGGTAAATGGAGGAGCCCATTGTCTGCCAGAGAACCTGACTGGAAACCTAATTAGGATCCATTTTTTCCTTAAATAGGGGCCACTCAGAAGATTACTGTCTCTCGCGTTTCAATCCTCTTGATTAGCCTATGGGGTGGGCAGGTAGAATTTGAAATTACTTCTTAGGAATTTCATCTGTATTTTCAGGTCCCACCAAACCTTTTCCTGTGGTTGTTGTCAACCATATTTTGAAAGATGTGTTAAGCAACTACCTGCGGGAAGAACGGTATGATCCAGAGGTCTGTAGGCAGATGGCAAAGACGGTCTCTGAGGTATGTTCATGATTTGCCCAAAGTGTTAGCTATAACCAGAATATCTGCTGGAGGCGCAACCTCCTACTTTTTGATGAAGGCAATTAATTTGCAGTAGCAGAAAAAGTGCTTAAATATATTTTATGAAAAATTTTATTAGGTCATATTCCATGTGTGTGTGTGTATAAAGAACCTTTATCTAAAACAATCATTATGTGCACCATTTGCACTTGTTTTGTTAAAAAAATGTATACAGCTGCCCCATTTATAAAAACATTTATTGTAAAAGATACAATATTTTAATGATTATTTTCTCTTCCCTGGGCAGCCTCTTTGTGTGCCTTCAATACAGACACTGTGGCTTTAAATACATTTAAGTACATTTCTATTTTTATCAACTGAAGTGGTGGCTCTCCATCAAGTTTTCTCTACTTTACTTGTTACAACAAAGTCTTTAATAAATATTCATGGTTAGTCACATGACAGGGGACTCCAGATGTACAGTCCCTTCCCTGGACGTGAACAAGGCGGTGAAAGTCTAATGCCAACATTCTTTGAAGGGAAGCCCTCCTCACATAGATTTTCGAGGAATGTAATAAATCCATTAACTTCTGTGCCCTGGATTACAGTTTTTCCATGTCCCTTAGGAAATGTAGATTTACTGCTGGTGCTGTCATTTTGTCCCTCAATTTCCTATCTCATGAGGACAGTGCTTGAAGGAAATCACGGTCATGGTTCTACAGCAATTACTGAAAGCATCTACCATGCTTCATACTATTTTCTTAAGTTAAATCCAGTACATTTATGACAAAGATTAAGACTCTGAAGTTTCAGCGTGGCTAAGTGAGGACCTTATTTTTTCTGTTAATTTCCAGGTTATTAAAGGCCGGGTCAAGGACTTGCTGATTCCGCGGTATAAGCTGATGGTGGTTGTTCACATTGGGCAGCTGACGAGTCAGAGCATACTTATTGGAAGCAGATGCCTCTGGGATCCTAAAAGTGATACCTTTTCATCTTACGTTTTCAGAAATTCTTCTCTCTTTGCTCTTGCAAATGTCTATGCGGTTTACTTTGAGTGATTGAAAATAAGAAATGTAGTTCTGGGGCCAGCCCAGCAGTGTAGTGGTGAGTTCACATGCTCTGATTTGGTGGCTGAGATTTGTGGGTTCACATCCCAGGTGCAGACCTACACACCACTTGTCAAGCCACACTGTGGTGGTGTCCCACATACAAAATAGAGGAAGGCCGGCATAGATGTTAGCTCAGGGACAATCTTCCTCAAGCAAAAAGAGGAAGATTGGCAACAGATGTTAGCTCAGGACCAATCTTCCTCACACACACACAAAAAAGGATGTTCTTTAAAAAAAAAAAAAAGAAATGTAGTTCTTACTTTTTTAAAGCAAGAAATAGCCTGTATCTATGTACACAAATGTTTTACTGCCCAAAAGTTTGACAAAGAAAAAACACTAATATTTCAAACAACTGGAAGTCTTTTCACATTTTCATACTCTGGTAAGGATTAGAGGAGAGGAGGGTAGCACAAGAAAAAATCTTGTTTATCCAAGGGAACTAAGTCTTGGTTCTGCCAGATTGCTTTTTCATAGACATAGATTCTTATTAAACATTACTTTTGGTACTAATTATTTTAATTACTCTTTAATTAGAGACTTAGAATTTCCTACATTGTTTTTTAATGAAGAGACCTTTTTAAAAAATATGACTATCTCCCCTGACTAATAAATGACAGTAGAATAGTCAACATGGTATACACAAATGTTAGTGTCTCAGACATGCATATAAAAGAATCCTGATTTTCATTTCCTCCTTAATAAATTGAGCAGCATTCATTAACTGCAATTATTGTTACGTGTACCTGACAGTTGAAACTGCTGAGGTAGAATTAATGATTTCATAACAATGACCGTCGTCCCACGAGGCTGCCGGCTCACGCTAGAAGCTCGTATGGGTTGCCTGTCCTTTGCAAAATTGTTGGAGAACTGAATGTCGGCTCTTCAATAATGGAAACTATTAAGTGGACAAAGGCTTTTTAGGGCCCTGAAGTAAACGTTGTGATATTAAATATACATGATGCTTAATAGTAAATGTATCTGTAACACAAACTCGTGGACTGGAAAGAGATACTGCTCTTAAATAGACACCGCCTGATGTGCCTTTGAATAGGTTTGCCTAGGCCAACAAACTTTTACACAAAATATATAGCTGGCAGCTTAACAAATAAAACATGTGTATTTACTATTTTGTTCCTATGAATTTAATACTAAAGTGACCCGGTGCGGTTTTGAATGGATGGCACTAAAATTTACAGGGCTGAAATAGCTTATTATTCTGCTGGTTAATGTAGCTTGTGCCATGGATCATTTATTTTTATGGAGCTTTCAGCCCTTTGTGTGCATGTGAAAGGATGCTGCGGCGCTGTCCTTGGATGGTAAGTGGACTGCCTGGAGCACATTTGTTAAAGGTCAAAGACAAATTGCACACATATGGAGAAAATTAGCAACGCTCTAGTCCTAAGGAAAAATCGATGTGTAATTCCTATCAAAAAGAATTTAACAACTGTGAAAACAGTCAGTGCTTTATAGTTTTAAAATGTATTGATGTCCTGTTTTTCCCCAAATGGCATGTAATAAAAAATTAAAAAACATGCTTTTTAAATTCTTTTCCTTCTGCTTGTTGTGGCTTTTTAGGTAGCATTTCAAAATGAATTGGCCAATTTTCATTATTTTTTCTGTTAGTGCCTTAGTGGGAATAGGTCTGTATAATAATTTATCACAACTCGTATTTGTCAATCTCCATGGGCCAGTTTTGAATCTGGATTAGATCATCAGCACAGTGAGAAATGAGCTTCATATTTTCATTACACATTTGGGAACATCTCCCCTCTTGGAACAATAGCAGAGGCAATCACACAGCCTTGGAATGAATAAATCAGAATGAAGGAAATTCTTTACTATGTAGGAAATTCATTATAAAAATGGCTTTATTTTTTTAGGGTTCTAAAATGTCATCCATGAGATAATTTCTTACCATCTGTCCTAGGCTGTGTTGGGAATCAAAACCTTAAAACGTGATGGCCGTTAAAAAGCAGAAGAGGAAGAGGTTGGCCGGCATATTGCCGTGTACTGTAATTCAGATGGTCAGCGACGCCTTGTAGCAGTTATAGAGCAGTGCAAGAATATACAGCAAAAACTCACTAATTGTGGTTAACTTGGAAGAAGGCTGGTTATCACAAAAAGCTTTGTGATGGGAAATTTTGTTGGATGTGTTAGCTAATGCCACAATGGTAATCACATTGCAATATATAAATGTATCAGATCAACATGTCGTCCACCCTAAACTTACACAATGTTATATGTCAATTATATTTCAATTTAAAAAAGTAACATTTTTTTAAAAAGAAATGACACTGTAAATTTGAGGAAACTTTCACTTTGAAACACCTTGAACTTTCCTGGCGTTTTTCCTTCTCAATAGGTGCTCCTAAAGTGCCATCCTTCTTCCCAGACCTGCCGTGCCCATCCTGACCTCAGAGCTTTCCCTCATGCTTTTCCCTACCTCAGAACACACCCTTCCACTTACAGCAACTTTCTTCACTTTTCAGCGTCAAACTCGAGTCTAAATCCTTCTCCATCCATTCCTTCCTTCTGTTCTCTCTGTCCTTTCATCACTCTCTTGGGTGAACTTCTGATTGTTCTCTGGCTAATTTTTGAATAATAGTTTTGTCTCCCTTACTAGATTGAAAACATCGTGAGTACATGGGCCACACATCCTGACAGCACCTAACAATAAAATGTGATGTATCTTCACTTTTCAAGCCAGAATCGTGTACATCGATTGCACTATGCTACATAGCTACCAGCTGCAAAGATAATAGTAACACCCAATTCAGCCCTAGAGGAATGGGATCCTACAGGGATGATAAGCCCACAAGTGACCACAGTACAGGCTGCCACAGGCTTTCATTAGAAAAGTCCAGAAGATCAAGGGAATCAGGAAAGGCTTCATGAAGGAATTAGTCTAGACTGTGAAGGCAAGACGTAGAATTTCAACAGACAGGGGAGTTCGGAGTACAGGAAGAAGTCTAGACTGGGGGGAATGCGGTGTTCATGAAGGTAAGTGGTTAGAAGTGAGACCGGAAGCGTACACAGTAACCTGAATATCTGAGTCACAAAACGACACTTGGACCACGGGGAGTCATCAGAGGTGTTTCCTTAGTCTGAGGGTATACAGGAAGTGACTCTTGAAGAAGATGAATCGTCACTAAAGTGTGGGAAGACGGCTTAGGAGAGGTGAGAGGTGGCGAGAGGCCGAACTCGGCGGTGGCAGTGAAAATGGAAGGGAGAGGACGGTTGCATGGGACATTTTAGGGGCAAAGTCTTCATGACCACGCAGAGGCGAAGCAGGAGTCAGAGGTGACTCTGGGGCAACAAGACAAGGCAGTTCAAAGTTTCGAGCTCTGGGTGTTTGCAGTCTCGGGCCTGAGTCCTGCTGTCTCAGTCACTAGTTGGGTGCCTTTAAATCAGTCACCTCACTAAGCCACAGCTTCCGCATCTTAAAGGAAAGCCATGAGAATGCTGGGACCCCCCTCACGGGGTTTTGGTGAGAATTCAATACCTGTATTTGCTAAGCCCTTCACAGCACAGGGCCTGAGAGGAAGCCCTGTGGTGGCGGCTCCTGGGGTCGCAGGTGAAAGTTTGAGTGTGGGTAACTAGATCAAGGATCCTGTTAGCAAAAGGAAGGAAGTCAGCAGGAAGAATCTGGGGACTAAAATACCAAGTTTGACGTTGCACTTGTTGAATTTAAGTTACTAGTGGGACATTCAGATGGAGAGAGCCTCAGCCGCTGAATAAGTGGGACTGGCGCTGAGCAAAAACCTCACCGGGAGAGGTTTGGACTTGGCGGGCGGCCAGACTGACGCCTGACCTCTCCCTCCTGCTTCGTAAATTATTCAGTAGCAGCGGCTTCAGCGAGGATAGTAGGTACTAATAGAAATTACTGAAAATTCAGTGGACTCTGGGAATGTTGGCAGGAAACCCTCCCCTAAAATCAGTAGGGAAGTTTTTCCCCAAAACCGCAATTAAACGCCTTTCTCTTTTTCGTCATTTTAAAAAATTTCTATATGATCTATTTCTGTTGTCAGGCATTCTAAGAAATGAGAAGGTTCTCTCGAAAATATGTTAGCATCTTGAATGGAGGCGTCGATGCTGTCGTATGTTGTCGTGGTTAGCACACCCACTTCAGAGAAAACACAACAGGAGGTCTTACCACAGAGTCCGGTAGATTACGTGCTGGGAAATTAAGCGCTACTTCAGTTCACTGATCTTTTCAAAACCCCTGGGAGTTATCCAGTATATGGGAGTGTTTTAAAAAACAAAAGTTGAGAAATTAGAACTTTTAAATCTAGCATTTTAGAAAATAAACACTTTCCTTGTTGGGACCGTAACTTGACCTGTCTTTCCAGATCTTACCAAAAAATGCATTGAGAAAACTCAGTATTGAATAGTTATTGATAATTTACTCTGCCTTTTGGCTCCCGGAATTCTTAAGGAAGCGGCCGCACCCCCTGCCTCCCATCTTCTCTGCTTCTCTCGCTTTCTCCTCCCGCGTCCGGTTCTCATCCACCAATGTGCTGCTTCCACCAACAGCAGCAGTGGTCCCCCAGGCCAACCGCCAAACGTTTGTCCAGCTGCATCCCAGCTCGGCTCCTTTCATCTCTTTTGCCTTTCAACCCTCACTAGCTGTGTGACTTTGGGCAAAGCAGCCAGCGTCCTGAGCCTCAGTTTCTCAAAGGTAATCATGATCACTGCTTATCGACGGTCAGTGATCAGTGTTCACTTCTTCGGTTCTTGCTGTGAAGACTGACAGGGACAGTGTACAAGAACGTCTGACCCTCACAGACGCTTGCTCTCAGCCTCCAATTTCTTCCTGCAGAGCCTGTTTTCCTGAAGAATCGAGCATATGTTTTAGCAATTTCTGCTTATCACCATAATGTAATATCCACAATTACTTGTTTTTTTTTTTTACTTCTCAGAGTTTTAATCATCTGTTACTGCCATCTTTGAATGATAAATAATTTCTCAAGTCCACGTTTATTATCAAATCTTATTCATCCCCAGATTAGACTCTTTTTACACTTTTTCCAGTCAGAT